ATTTTTTAATGTCTGACTTGCATCACTGTACAGAAGACTGCCATATGATAGAAATATTTACATTGTGCTTATACAGTTATTATTATTATTTTCCTAATCCCTGACTGATCATTTTTAATCTAGCGTGTATTATAGTATAGATTAAATTCATCATCCAGCTGCTGCTCTGCAGAATTCTCTCCCCAAGAGCTGAATCACCCCATCTAGCGGAAAATCACGGGGCTTTTTCAAATCACGTGTGAATGTATACAAAACAACAAAAATGGCGCCAGCAATGCTTGTGGGTCGTTTTCAGCGAATGTCGGTGATTTTAAAGTAATTTTGAGAGGTAATTTTTTTTTTGGGGATCATTGCACTTGCCCGGCGGGCAAATTTGTACTCTTCCAACAATAAAAACTACTTGCCCCAGGCGATCGGGCAATGGTTAACATCGAGCCTTGCCATGTCTCTCCCACACTGTTTACATTTGATCACTGCTGCACTTTATGAATGGAAATGTTCTTTTTCGGATGTGCAGGTGGCGCAGTGGTCAGCACGCACGACCCATGTCGTCATTGACGTTGATCTACGCTGGAGATAAGTTCTTTTAAGTTATGCACAAGTTACTCAGGTTTTGGACGACATTACTTATGAGTAACTTAAACTTAATATATGTTAACGATCAGATAACTTACCTGTAACTTATACCCCAATATTGGAATACACTGGCATATGTCAGGAAATATTGAGCAGGGTAAAAACTTTGCAACGTACTCGCCATATGTCGACATGTTCCAGTATGTTCCAGCGTACTCATAACTTATACAAAACGTACCCATAATGAATCCAACGTATGCCAGTGTTTTGCCAGATTTTTCGTACGTGTCATACGCTGGTCTAAATCATCATGGTGTGACGGGGCTTCAGCAGTACTCTGGGATTTTCAAATCTCATGATACGTTTCAATAATCGAAGCCCACTTTCTGACTTTCACAATTCTGTACCAAGTTTTTTTGCACTATCACACATATTTATGGAGGATAAAAAGTGCCAAAATTAAATAAATAAATACAGCATTAAATAAATAATTAAATGTGTCAATAATTAATTAAATGTGGAATTAAATAAATAAATGTGTCATTCATTCATTAAAACCTCGTCAGTAATATAAAGTGCCAAAATTAAATAAATAAATACAGCGATAAACAATTAAATGTGCAATTCATTAAATAAATAAGGAATTAAATATATAAATGTGTCATTAATTTAATAAAATACGTCTTCATTTTATTAAAAAAATATATATAATTATTTCAGTGTGCATTTAATTATTTCAGGGTCCTGTGTCGCAGTGCATCGAAACCATTAAAAGAACCCATGAAAGTAAGGGGCGGTTATCTAACACCTGATTGGTCACCCTGCACATTAAGGCGAAGCTAATAGATTACAGAGACTCTGATCCACAGGTTGTGAACATACTCTGATACAGTAGGTACAGTAGGTAATCTATTCGCGTTAACCCCGCCCCCAAACTTTGATGGGTGAGTTTGAGAGATTCTTTTAATGGTTTCGATGCACAGATGCAATTAAATGCACACTGAAATAATTATATATATTTTTTTAATAAAATGAAGACGTATTTTATTAAATTAATGACACATTTATATATTTAATTCCTTATTTACTTAATTAATT